AACCCACACCTCCTTGGCACCAAAGCGCGCCACCACAACAACCTCACCCTTAGGTATTTGTTGCTCAAACTAAAGAAACTAATCGTTTTGATTTTTTTTTACAATTGTGTTACTACAAAAAAGTACAGAAAATTACCATGATTTTCCCTCGGGACAAAGTTACCATGGTATCCGCATGCAAGTTATCAGACCTGTGTTGCGTAAGTTACCGTGCTATTTACATAGAACTTACCAGGTACTATGTTTCAACAACTACACCCCTTTCAAAGTTACCACTGTGTTATAAGGTCTTGGATGTGTAAAATACCGTGGTACTTACACATAAGTTATCAGGATATGCGTATATCAACCTCGTCCTTGGTCAAAGTTACCATGGGGGATTGTACATGAGTTACCAGGTCTACAGTTCGTATATTATCATTGTACTTACACTTAAAAACCTGGATGTGTTTCGGTAACTTTTTTCATAACTTTTTGGATGATTTTGCGTAACTTATCACGCCTATAGCGGGTCAAAGTGGGCTGTTTTTCTGGGCCAACCGACGAGCACATGTGCCTCCTCATGACACTAAACATTATGTGGCTTTTCTGTGGCACATCATGTGTTGTGTTCATCTAAGAGGCCTCGCGAGGCGAGTGTATATTTTTAACAACTTGTTTTCCTTTGGTAAAACATTACCATCATGTTTATATTGTAACTTATCGGTTATGCGGTGCTTATATTATCATGTTATTCACACAAAAATTATCGGGAATGTTTTGAACTACTTTTTCCCGGGACAAAACGTTATCATGGTGATTCTAGGTAACCTATCAAGCCCGCCGTGCTTAAAATATCATGCTATTTACATAAAATTTATCAAGGGTATGTTTCAGCAAAATTTCCCCCCACTGGTCAAAAACTTATCATGGTGTTTAGTTATCGCGGTGCATATGTTTTCATGCTATTTACACATAAAAATACCAGGGGAGGGAGGTATAGTACCGTGCTATTTACACAGAAGATACCGGAGTATCTTTTCAAAAAAAAATCCCTATGGTCAAAGTTACCATGGTGTTTCTATTTCAGTTATCAGATGTGCATTGCGTATATTACCATCTATTTACACATAAATTATCTGGTATATTTTCACATTTTTCTTCCCCAATGGTTAAAGTTACCACGATGTTTGTATCTAAATTATCAGGTCTATGGCGTGAATGTTATCGTGCTATTTATAGAAATTACCCGGGGCCGGGGTTCAACAAATTTTTTCCCAATGATCAAAGTTACCACGATGCTTTCACCAAAGTTATCACGCCTTCAATGCTTATGACCATGCTACTTACACATAATGTACCGTGTGGTATACAAAAGTTATCATGTTGGTGGTGCATCATTTATCGTGGTGGTGATGGAGAATTTACCACGGGAAAAGTTTATGTGTCAGGTTTGATAGGTGAAACAAAAGTTTTTCAGTGATAAAATATTAAAGGCAAAACATGTCAAAAACAGTATTTTCCTTAGCTTGGTCAACAATGAGTGTCATAGGTGAGATGGTTGGCTCCCTTTGTTGATTACCTACAGACCAGAGATCAAATCCCGATTAAAGCATTGTTTTTGCCCAAAAATCTGAAAGGCGCGTGGGGATGTAACTGGTGATTGAAAGGAAGGAAATCAGGAGGGCGGGAAAGGAAGGAGATCGGGAGGACGTGCGGGAATGGAAGGGGATCGCGAGGAAAGAAAAGAGATAGCAAGGACGTGCGGGAAAGGAAGGAGATCGGGAGGGTGTGGCAGTTTTGCAATCTGCCACACGGTTGCCACTTACATATTTCGAAAAAATATTGCGCATGTGGGATTTGAACCCACACCTCCTTGGCACCAAAGCGCGCCATCACAACAACCTCACCCTTAAGTATTTGTTGCTCAAACTAAAGAAACTAATCGTTTTGATCTTTTTTTTTTACAATTGTGTTACTACAAAAAAGTACAGAAATTTACCACGATTTTCCCTCGGGACAAAGTTACCATGGTATTCGCATGCAAGTTATCAGATCTGTGTTGCGTAAGTTACTGTGCTATTTACATAGAACTTACCAGGTACTATGTTTCAACAACTACACCCCTTTCAAAGTTACCACTGTGTTGTAAGGTCTTGGATGTGTAAAATACCGTGGTACTTACACATAAGTTATCAGGATATGCGTATATCAACCTCGTCCTTGGTCAAAGTTACCATGGGGGATTGTACATGAGTTACCAGGTCTACAGTTCGTATATTATCATTGTACTTACACTTAAAAACCTGGGTGTGTTTCGGTAACTTTTTTCATAACTTTTTGGATGATTTTGCGTAACTTATCACGCCTATAGCGGGTCAAAGTGGGCCGTTTTTCTGGGCCAACCGACGAGCACATATGCCTCCTCATGACACTAAACATTATGTGGCTTTTCTGTGGCACATCATGTGTTGTGTTCATCTAAGAGGCCTCGCGAGGCGAGTGTATGTTTTTAACAACTTGTTTTCTTTTGGTAAAACATTACCATCATGTTTATATTGTAACTTATCGGTTATGCGGTGCTTATATTATCATGTTATTCACACAAAAATTATCGGGAATGTTTTGAACAACTTTTTCCCGGGACAAAAGGTTATCATGGTGATTCTAGGTAACCTATCAAGCCCGCCGTGCTTAAAATATCATGCTATTTACACAAAATTTATCAAGGGTATGTTTCAGCAAAATTTCCCCCCACGGGTCAAAAACTTATCATGGTGTTTAGTTATCGTGGTGCATATGTTTTCATGCTATTTACACATAAAAATACCAGGGGAGGGAGGTATAGTACCGTGCTATTTACACAGAAGATACCGGAGTATCTTTTCAAAAAAAAAAATCCCTATGGTCAAAGTTATCATGGTGTTTCTATCTCAGTTATCAGATGTGCATTGCGTATATTACCATCTATTTACACATAAATTATCTGGTATATTTTCACATTTTTCTTCCCCAATGGTTAAAGTTACCACGATGTTTGTATCTAAATTATCAGGTCTATGGCGTGAATGTTATTGTGCTATTTATAGAAATTACCCGGGGCCGGGGTTCAACAAATTTTTTCCCAATGATCAAAGTTACCACGATGCTTTCATCAAAGTTATCACGCCTTCAATGCTTATGACCATGCTACTTACACATAATGTACCGTGTGGTATACAAAAGTTATCATGTTGGTGGTGCGTCATTTATCGTGGTGGTGATGGAGAATTTACCACGGGAAAAGTTTATGTGTCAGGTTTGATAGGTGAAACAAAAGTTTTTCTGTGATAAAATATTAAAGGCAAAACATGTCAAAAACAGTATTTTCCTTAGCTTGGTCAACAATGAGTGTCATAGGTGAGATGGTTGGCTCCCTTTGTTGATTACCTGCAGACCAGAGATCAAATCCCAATTAAAGCATTGTTTTTGCCCAAAAATCTGAAAGGCGCGTGGGGACGTAACTGGTGATTGAAAGGAAGGAAATCAGGAGGGCGGGAAAGGAAGGAGATCGGGAGGACGTGCCGGAATGGAAGGAGATCGCGAGGAAAGAAAAGAGATAGCGAGGACGTGCGGGAAAGGAAGGAGATCGGGAGGGTGTGGCAGTTTTGCAATCTGCCACACGGTTGCCACTTACATATTTCCTTTTGTTATTCTTATTTTAATTTTGTAGACATGAACATTTAAAAAATATATACAATGAGCATTTTCCAAATACATGGCGAACATACCTCTATTATATGACAAACATTTTTCAGCATGCAAATTGAATTTTTTTTCATATACATGGTGGCCATTTTTCAAATATACAATGAACATTTTACAAAAGATATTTATTTATTTATTAATACTTAAAAATGTTATTACTAAAAAATGATGGGATTAATAAATAATGTACTAGGATAAATAAATAATGTACAAGGTAATAAAAGTGTATAAATATAAGATTGAATGGGTATATGGAACGTACTTACATACATAGGCACACGATGCCATACAGTGTGAGTTTCCATAATGTTCAGAAGGCTATCATGCCCTTCTTTACAAAAAGTTCTAATTCACACGGTTGATTGTTAAATACGGTAAACCAAAACTAAACACATATGTAATATGTCAACTTTTTTGCTGTGGTTCGTTTTGGTTGTAAGGTAAGAAAAGAGTGTCTATTAATCAGTTGCCTGAAGAAAGTTCAGGTTTCAGTTGATTCTCCACCGCGTCTTCGCTCTCCTCCCTCTTCCATTGCCGCCTTAGTCTTCCTCGCGCCGCTGTCGACCCGCCCTTCGGCACCGGCACCATCGTCCCCCATGCCCCACCGCTGACTTCATTGCCTTGCCACCTGTCATGCCCAAGCCGCCTCTGCCCTGGCC